AAGTAGTGCAAGCCCGGCTGCAGTCGTACATCCAAGAATAAATATTCATAGCATTTCCATGACTTTGAGCTTCCCTCTCTTTCTCTCTCTCTTTCTCTCTCCCGATCCGCGTCTCATTAACTTGAGCTATACCATTAATCATAAAAATTAATTCTTATCTTTTTGCGTCTTGCTTGGCGTGTGTTGTATTTTTAGAATACAATTTCGAAAATAGATGAATTACAAAAGCTAAAAACAAAGTCGTTTATTGAAAATTAGCAAGCGTTATTTGTTGGCTTGAATTTCTCTAAATTTTCTTAATTTGTTCGAATAGATTTTTAAAGTGGAAAAATTCCTGAAATAAAATTGTTTTATTTTCCTATTCAAGCTAGGAAGCATATTCTACATACTCGGGCGTAAGAGAATATTGCAAGTATGTAAAAAAGCGAAAGACGATAACAAAAGAACGAAATAACGTAATTCGAATTCGATAGGCAAGTTTCAAAAAAGTATCGGTTGCACCGACATCGAAATTCCTTCGGAAACGATTTTCCATACGTGTACTACGGATAAACCCTCCATTGAGTAAAAGATAGGTCAGATAGTACGGGCGAAAAAAACGAGAAAAAAAGCTCACTTTGACATTTCATCGCTGTCAATATGCGACACGTATACTCTCTTGCTATTGTGTTTTGAGTGCGATATATACACTATGTATATCTATCTATAAGATTTAAAAAGTAACGGAAGATAAGAAGTTGTTTGTCATCGGAGCGTGAAAAAGCGTGTAACGAGACGTTTTTCAACTCGCTCTCTACCTACTTTTTTTTTCTTTTTTGTGGATCTCGGAAACGATGAAGAAAATAGATGGCAGAAAATTTGTAAACCGTCGAGATTCGATTTTTTTCTTTTTGTTCTAAAAAAAATAAGAAAAAGTGATGCACGAGGGAGTTCGATCATGGTTTCGAGCGAAGTAAAATAATGAAGATTCAACGTTGCGGGTTATTCATCCAGAAGATAGTCTCTACATGAAACGATGATAAATATTATAGATCGTGTACTCGTATGTTATAGCTTTTTTGAAAAGAAAAGAGGATTGAATCATATTTTTACGCAAAATGCGAAAATTACTCGAATATTTAAGTAGCCATAGCTAATTTTTTATTGGCTTATTGAAGTTTTCATCTGACCATATTCCGAAATTAATCTGATTAATTATAAACTTTACAATGAGGAATTAAACTTTGTTATGCCGACTTGGTAGGTTTTTTTGTACCAGTATAAAAAGATTAATAATTTTTTAAAATCTAGAAGAATGGCAATGATAAAACATGAAAAATTAAATAAAAGTTCCATCTTCATAATTTTCGCTCTTCTTATAGAACGAAGATAACAAAAACTATTCACAGAATCGGTAATTCCGGTATGGCCACAAATTTTTGAAGAGCTAATGTCTGCTTGATTTAAATAAGAAAACACATGACTATTCATTGAATTGTATTTAATAATGCAGTTCAGGTCTAATGTAAATAAAATTACGTCAAACGAACAAAATGACAGGTCGATTTTTTTTGGGTCAATTATATTGCGCTTAACACACTACCAGGATATCGAATAAATTTTCTGAATAGTTACACCGAGCGGTCAAGCACAATCTCCAATAAAACTTGCAATTTTGTACAATAGCGATGAGCAACAAATAAAACAAAGGAACAAGCGAATGTCTAATTGAAAAAGAAATGCGAGATTCAATAAAGAGCGGAAAACGTATGGGATATTTGTTATAGAAAAAAGATGAAAAAAACACAAGAGTTTTTTCTAGCCTGTAAACGAGAAGGTATAAATGTAAAAAAAGTAAGAAAATGGAATATTTATATTTATGCATCGACAGATATAATAAAAAAGTTTTGTTTCACCTGCAGTTATACGAATATATCTGGAGATAATTTTAAGGTAAATCAAAAATGTCAAACTTTTTATGGTATTGCAAAATCAAGATTGCAATTTAGCATTTAAAAGGCAAACCAAAAAGCGAGTACACGCATGGAACGTAAAATTGGTAGGTAAAATTTTGCGAGATAAGAAGCAGTAGCAGCATAATGGGCCAGAGGGTAAAATAACACACGATAAATGGACTAACTGCGGAAAATCGGTAAGCTGCTACTTTCTGGCATCACGTTTCGCTTGATTTGCCCTGTGTATATACGTGTGCAGGGCACAAGTTGGAATTCCTTTCGCATAGTCGCAGTGTGCATGTATACTTACGCAAGCACAAGTTTCTAATCTAAAAGTGACTCGTGCGAATCCGTAATGCCTCGAGACTTTACTTTTATCTGAATTTCGAGCTACAGTGGCCTCTCGCTGCAGCAAAAGCCATTCGATTCAAACATCAGATATATATTTCAACCTTACAGAAGAGCATTTCAATAAACATTCGATGTCTCGGAGTTAATGAACCTTCGCAGTCCAGGTATGAATGAGGGAATGAAAAAAGAAGGAAAAAGAAAATCTGCTCGATTAAACTCGTTGAAGATGAATATATTTGCCGAGAGCTAAAGCAAGAGAACGACTGTATACAGTGTAGACGTGCGGAGGCATGTATGCATAACCTTTGCCTCATTGACGATGAACGACAGTTTCGTTCCGTGAATTTTCCGCTCTCACGCAGAGAAGCAGGGAGGCAGTATTGTACGCGCGCCTGTACAGGAGGTCAACTGGGATGAAATAAAGCTATGTATCACCAACAGATTTGCTGGATATGACGTCTTAACGAGATGAAACACTGTTTGCACATATACACGCGGCAATGATAGCGAGATAGAGAGAGAGAGAGAGAGAGTTGATGATGGGAGTAAAAGGGAATTACTTTATTGTAGTGGACAGAGTGAATACGAGCTTACAGCGCTCGACGCTCAGAGACAAGGGAAAATATCACACCTCCCCGCCAATATTGATCTAGACGTAGTGAAGCTCTACGATCTGCGACTTCTCTTCTTCCTTATTTCCGGTTTTTTTCCTTTACCTTTTTTTACGATTTCCTTAATTAATATGTCACATTTTATCTTTCCGATAATTTTTTCGAATCAATTCCGGCCGAGACTCTACCTAGCACTGAAACGTTTCGCAATATCTATAGGAAACTCACAAGAATGCGTCTTCACAACTTTCTCCTTTATCTTTTGCTCACAAAGACTTGTTAAAACTTGGATCGTTATATACGAAACTTTTTGCTCAAAGCGTTGATTCGGCGAGCTCGCTGCAGCTGCACCCGCCCACGCACACACGCACGCGCGCGCTTACAATAACAAAGGAAAAATTATTTATATTTTTTTTTCTACCCCTGTCAATATATCACCTCAGAGCAACGACGAATTGCGATGAACCGAGCGACGTGTATACATTTTAAGCGCAATTGTATGTGTGCGTTCGAGGCGCCTGGCATCGAATTTAATTGTACAAAACGAATATATCTATTGTTTCAGATAAACTTTGGGGATATTTTTTTTTAAAGCTCATCGAATTATAAACATACACACACCGAGTTGTTTTGGAATCCGGTGTGACATAATTGAAATTCGCGCGCTGTCACTCGCAAATGTTTAGATGATACAATATGTTGTTCAATGGATAATTATCTAAATTAGTAAGTACGTGACGTGTGCGCGCGCCCCAGTATATACATACGTCTCGTTGCAGGAGCAACGCAACAACGGGTAATCGCATTATTTTATCTGTACAGGGGAATTCGACAAAACACACTCGCTTTCTGTCAACTCGTTAGAATGGAAATTTTGCGCGCGTTGTCGCAGCTGTATGAAGCTCTCGAGCATGGCCTCAAAAATGAAGCACCAAATGAGTATTATTATTACCGTCTGGGGCGCGCGGGAACAATATGAGACTTTTAGGCAAAACTTTTTCTTCGTCTTCGTATAATACGGTTCGCATGTGCGGGCGAGTAGTGCAGTAATGGCGCGTGTAACTGGTGGCTGTAGCATTTTTTGCCCCCTTACGTTATATACGAAATCTGAAACGGCCGCTGAATTTGCATTTGCCCTCGAGAGGAGAGATCGCGCGAGGGGCTAATTTCTCACTAGGGTGAAACTTTCGTTCGGACACTCAAAGTGAAACCGCACGGAGCTCTCTCTCTCTCTCTCAAGTATGTATATAATACGAGACGCGGCCAAGCAATTGTACGCGGGACCGAGCGAAAAAAGAGTACCTGTTGCGGAATTGCTTCATATAATATACGTATTGTGCGTGGGGCACTGCAACGCTCGCTCGCCCTCGCGTATTTAACATAATTTTTACGCGCGTTCAAAATGTGCAAACGATTTAGCGGCTGACGTGAAAATGGGGAAAATAATCGCTCGTCGACGTCGTCATCGTGATAATGATAATAGACGGATAAATCGATGTTTCGGGCGCGTGTATATAGCTGTGTGGGCACTAAGCGCGAGGGTCTGGAGTGCTCATGTAGCACTGGAATTTGCTGCGACTGTCACCCGCGCTCACGATGATCGAGTGTAGGGCGCGCGCGCGCGCACGCCGACTTCGATTTTTCTCGTCCGATTGATCATCATTATATATTGGTCGAACAAAGCTTTTACATTTCAATGTGTTTTTTTTCTTTCATCCTTTTTTTTTCTCTTGTTTCAACCTACGTGCGGTTTTTTCACGAGTATATCAAAGCCGCCACAACTCGCGTTGCGAAGGTAAAATCATCATTTACGCGGTGTGTCGCAGGCGAGCGAGCGTAGTAGTAGCAGCAACAGCAGTCGCGTGAACAAAAAGTTCTCAACGTGCCACAGATACTTGGTTCTGATAAACAACACTTGTAACGTTTCAATGAACGTATTATATATTGTAGCGCATAAAATACAATTTTATCGTCAAAACGAATGGCTGCAATGCGAGAGTCACGCCCTTTTTGCGCCTCGTAAATGTGGAGCAGTAAAAAGTAATTAGAGAAAAAGAAAGGGGGGTAAAAAATATTGTCGAGCACTGGCGATATATATACTGACCATGATTCAAGTTCTCGCTTTAATTCCCGGTACGGCCGATGAAGCTTCCAAAAGTGCTTGTCGTCAGCCGTGGCCGCTGCTTTTAACCCGGCATGAACGACTACTTATCTGCTCTTCATTGCACTTTTTGTTGTCACTCATTGTTGCCATTATCACTATTTGTTAGCACTATCTGCGTGGAACTGATTTTTAACCGGGACCTATGAGTACAGTGCTGCAGCTCGAGACGTACCGAACGAATTACTTTTTTTGTGGACGATACTGTGCCACGTTAGAACAGAGAAATAGACGGAAAAACGGATGAAAAAAAAAACAAAGAAAAATGTATTCAACTTCCTAGCTTATCTGTCCGCAAAAAATAGTGCTGTATACGGGAGAAATCGCGTGCCGAGAAACGAAACTGCAAAAAGGAAACAAAAAAATAAAAAGAAACAAGCGAAAGGTTCTGCGTGTGCCGGTGAACAACGGCGAAGTTTATTCGCGTTACGAGGCGATCGTGACTGGGACCGTGCCGTAGCGCCAGCACCGTCGCCGCTGCCGCCACCGACCTTTGCCTCGATAAAATAATTATCAAAAATAAATTGGGAGCACGCCCAAAAATTGCCACCAGCCGTTTCTCGTTTTATTGCTCGTTGTTTCTTGATTTTTTTTAGCTCGAGCACTGGTCTATCGATCGGACAGTTGAATAATTGAAGCTATTAAAGAACCAAGCGTGACACATTCATATTTCACTTGTTGCACGTACGTACGCGTACATACTTATTATATGTCGCACAGAGGAAAAGTCAATGCGTGCAGGCTTGAGCTTCGATCGCGCGAAACTAACGCCGTATACAACGTACAAGGCGACGACGTACCGCAAAAAGTTATTCGCGGATTACCTTGCCACTCTCGTTGGATTTTCCTGACGATGTTTGCCGAAACAGCGAGCTCGCAAGCTCGGGACGAAGTTTTAAGCGAAAACTGCGGCGGAGAACGAGCGAGCGAATGAGCGACGGGATGTGCACGCACTCGCATACACACACACATACACAGGCAGGACAAACAATGCACGCTTAGGAGCGGGCGCGAAAGGGCCGCGCCGCGCACACTTTGATTGCCAAGTTGGAGCGATCGTCCCTTTTACATAGAATAAACACCAGAGCTGCCGAGGAGAGAGACGGCCAATTTCAGAGCCCCGCAGCGAGCTTTCGGAAAATTGAGCCCCCGAAAGGGATCTGTGTCTCGCTTGCAAAAGACAAAGATGTATATTTTATAGGAGCGCGACTGCTCTTGCCGCTGCTACGGCTACTGCTACAGTGTTGCTTCGGTTGCTGCTGCTACTCGAGCTTTACTCGTTCAGAGCGAGCGAGAGAGAGAGAGAGAGGGAGGTAGAGAGAGTAAAAGCGCGCAACGTGTGGCAGCTTGCGCGCCTCGCCGCGCACTATCGGAGCTTCGCGGCTTGACGCTCGCTGCTAGTGCTGCTGCTGCTACTGCTGCTGCTGCTGCTGGCTTTGCTCCCGCTAACACACATATAAAGCCCACGCGCATGTATATACGTATATACACATCAACCCTCTCGGTCGCGCCTGCTCGGGTTTCCTCGTCGTAGTCGCCGTCGTCGTCGTTGAGTAGCACCGCCCACTGTGTGTATAGCTCTTATTGTGCCGTACAGTTATGGATATATATACAGCAGTTAGCCGTGCGCGCGCCCGCCTGTACATAAATGAACGTACACAGGCCGAACGTATCGTTTTGCACTTTTCGTTCGATGACTGCCTGTATGTATGCATTCACGTAGCGCATCCTGTCCTCGTATACCAGTTGACCCTCTGTGCAGGTTTGGCTTACATGCGGACGATTGCCGAGTGCGCAGGATATTGCCCATGTTTGCAAATTACAATTGCTACGGAGCAGAGGGAGCAACAGCAGCAGCGAGAAAAATTCGTCAATCGTTCGGGAAAAATCGGATTTTCCCAACGGAATAATCTCGACTTGATGTACGAGGTTAGAAATCCCCAAGAACCTCCATCAAACTTCGGCTTAGCTGCGCTACTGCTGCAGCCGGCTGCGCGCCAAGGCTTCAAGAAAGCTTTTCCTGATACTTTTATTACCTCTTCCTTCCTTTCTACATCCTTTTCCTTCTCTTGCCTTCTTTTTCAGTCCTCTTCTTACTCCTTCTTCTTCTGATGCTGCTGCTGCTGCTGCTCTTTCTCTTTTTCTCGAATGTGGCCGCGTGTTCTGCTTCCTTATCCCTATTTTTTCTCGCCTGATTCTTTATATAGTCGCGCCACTGAAAACGAGGAAAGAATAAAAATCTCGTCGTCTTCGTCGTCGTTGCGATGTGTAACGTCGTGGAGACGAAATATCTGTCGCTCGCACAAACCTACATAGAAACGCATAGAAAACGTTTTCAATTTTCGACGCCGTGCGAAGGGCTTGCCGACTCACGCACTTACACAGCCTCGTAAAAAAGACTCGCCAAGATGAAAATTATTATTTTTCTACGTCTGTAATGGAAGAAAGTATTCACTGTTCTTATGCTTTTACATCAAAATGAGTTGCTTTATTCGAGAATGGGATATTTCTACATTTTTGACAAACCAATTCATTAAAAAAAAAAAAAAAATCACTTTGTTCCAGTTAGTTTGAGAGCAAAAAAACAGTGACTCCTTTCAAAGAGGCAATGTACTTTTTCGAATCAGTGCAGTCCTTGAATGTTCAGAATTTTTTTTTCATTGTAAAGAAGTGCCTCGTTTTTTCTTATATAAGTACACTTCATAAAACAAGATATAAGCAAACACTTACTGTGTTTACAACTTTCTGTTCATTTTCCACTGTTTTTTGTAAATGACACAAAAGCTCATATCAGCTCACCGAATCAATTCTGAAAAAATGAATTTTTAAAAAGAAACAGCATAAACTTTTATTAGTTTAACATTATATAACAGTATACTAAATTTCAATTTTTATTGATGAGTTACTGTAGAGAAACTGTTTTGCTGGTAGAAAAACTAATTGCCGCTCGTGTGAATTTGATTGTTCAAAGATACTTCTGTGAATCTGTAAAATTTTCCAAAATTAGCTGTGTCCCTGACGGAAAAAAATTGATCGAGAAAAAGTAAAAGTAGTAACTAAAACCATCATATTAAATTGTAAAATGCAATAAAATGTAAAAAAATGTAAAATTACTAACGATTTCAGACAGCCAATGATTAAAAGTGCAGCATAAAATTACATTTTTACACTTTCTTACTCTTTTGTACATTTTCTTACATGAGCTATCCGCATGTGATCGCTCGACCGCAGCAAGTGATTTTCGTGAAAAAAATTATCAATTTTTATGAATACATTAAGACAAATTATGATGGATATGTTTATAAACCAAATTCAATTATTTCAGTACTCCTTGGTACATCTATGATGATTTTATAATGCTTTCTGCTGTATTAGAGCGAATTGACTTTTTTTACGAAAATCACTCTCTGTGGTCAATTCGATGACATGCGCGCTTGACCGGGATTTTAAACTCATAAGTAAAAATTGTAACATTTAAAATTATTATTACGGAATTTTATGTTTTTTTACACTTTTTTACTTTTTCTAAGTAACTTTAGTGAGCTTGAATTCATAGGATTTTCATATCTCTAATTATAGGTAAACAAATGTAATAAACTGTAATAAAAAGTAAAAAAGTGTATAAAAACATATCACAAGTCCGAAATCGTTAAATTACTTATTCTTACATTGACGAGAAATCGAACCCACGTTTACCCATTAGAACAGTGTTTCGGTTAGAACCTATCAAAAAAGAAAAGAAACGATGGGAAACTCGTCAAATATCTGCAGATGATTGTTCAGAGATAAGTAGTTGTTCTATTTCTCAGCTTTTAAGTGAATCTGATACAAATGATCAACCATGCTTATCTCGTGTTTCATCTAAATAGAAAGCTCATAACCCCAGGAAAAAAATTATTCCTTGTGAAGACCAAAAAAAAATCAAATTCCAAGTTCGTAGAAAAAAAGTAATCCTTCAAGAAACACGTGAACAAAAAGAAAAGTTGACTAAAACGTTTGAAAGAATGAATTTTTACTTGCTTCCTTTTACTTTCGTGCTGCATTTTTCATTCACAATAACGTGTAGTTTTTACAACACTAGTAATGATGCGAATTTTTTGGATTTATTCATTTATCAGAGTAAGTTAAAGCAATTTACAATTAGTTTTTTTTCTCAAATGCGTTTCAAGATATTATAACTAATTTTTATAATTGAAGAGCTTATTTTCTCATGCGTAAAAATAGCTAAAATATATAAACCCGTTTTTAAATTATGTTTCTTTAATTCTAGAATTGGGTAGCTTAATAAGCAACCCTAATTTAGTTTTTTTTTCAAATCAATGCAATTATTCCAAATGATTATAATAATTGAATAGGAGCTATTACTATTGACAAAAGCAGTCGCATTCACGAATTCATCAATTAGTTTGAGTTTATTATAGTTGTGCGTTTGTTTAATTTCATAATTATATTTTCGTCGAAATTTACGTCAATTCTGATTGATCAGGTTTATTGGCGAACGAATATAATATATATTTCAAATTAATTTTTTATCCACAAAATAAATTTCGCTAAACAATATACGTGTACCAACAAATATTAAGATTAGGGGAATTAAAAATACAAAATTCATCTTGGTTTGGGGATTAAAGTAAAGAATTTTAAATAAATATACTTTATCAACCTTTTAATTTATTAAGACTGATTTTGAGGTCTTTTTATTTCACTATAATTTTGAATACAATGGTGTAATGTACATGTTTATCGTAAATATTTTAAAATATTTTAATTAAAGTTGAAAAGCTTCTTCATTCGGAGATTTAAGTAAAAATCTTTAAAATAGATAATTATTATATTGCAGTGTGTTGCTGCATATCATGATGGTTATACATATTGTTGTAAACGGAATTTGTAAGGTGGAAAGTAAGGAGAGAAAAGTGGAAACAGGATTTCGATTGAATGGAAATAATTAGTCTCCCATGAAACGCGAGTGCGTGGTGTTTTAAAACCGCTCTTACTTTATATACTATAATTTCGCTTTTTTTCTTTGGTTTTTCGAAAATTTGGTCCTACGCCATCTAGCGGTTAATTGGAAACTACTGAGTAACCGAACAAAGAGATACAAGGAATTTTGAACATGCTTGCCTGAATTTACAATAAATCTGAGTTTTGTATTTTTCAAGTATGTGTTAATGCGAAAATTACAACCAAATTTTATAAAATAAATAATAACAACAGCATTCAAGTATTGACTTGAAAATTCACCTACTTGTCGAGTAAATAGTATTTACTTCCTTCATCATCTTCATTTCAACAAATTTTAGTATTGGCACTTTATTTTTCACACAAAAGTCAGCGGTTTTTAAGAGTAACTTTGTAATTTCAAAGTAAATATAATGTAAAAGGAGATAATTGTATGCTTACTTGAATATTGTGGTACAAACGTCCACGAAAAGTACTTGGAATTTACGAATAATTTTTTTTCAAGTTATATCCATGTGATATTTGAATATCTACAACTTCCTGAAAAAATAATTTAGAGACGCTGGAGTCTTATATTATTAGTGTCTGAAACACCAATTATAATTGGTTTATATTTTTGATTCAAGATTTCATTGTAGTCGTTATTTTTTTTATATAAAAGCTGATTACTCTAGTTGCATCGAAGCAGCCACAAGGCGGCAGTGATCGATAACAAACATTTGCATTTACGTCGTCTTGTGGATTTCTGTAGTTGCGGTGACGGTGAACCTTATAATGTGTGCGTATATGACTATACGTATAAATACACAAACATCCACACAGCAACCACACTCACGCATATACTTGCACAGAAGTAAGGGAGAAAGAGAGAGAGAGAGAGAGAGAGAGCTCAAGTGCATCCAGCCACGCGCGCAACTCGGCGCAAAAGCAATTTACATGTCAATCACGTGCGCTGGAGATTCGATTTGCCAAGAGCGTATAGCTCTTAAAAGTCAGATTTCCCAAGACGATTCCCTTAAAGCCATCATCCCCGTTGAGCTGCACGAAAAATATCATTAATCCGTCGCCGTTACTCCGTTTTCGTTGTTTGTCGCCCGCGCCAGAATTGATAACAATGGCTCGAGCGGGGAAGGACAAAATACTAAAGAATGAGATAAAGACCTCACGACACGACTTTTCTGCTTGGCTCATATTTTTTCTTCCGCTTACGGGATAAGCGTTTTTCTCCACGCGGCTCGAGTGTTCCGGCACCCGTAGAAAGAAAAGCTTGACGATTGTGCAACACGCATTACAGCATTAATTAAAAACAAATTTACGTTTAGTAAAATTTTCTCAAAG